GCCCCAAACTTAATAAAAACAAAGTTTTATTGTCAAAATGTTTATTATTAAGAGGAAAGCCCAAATTATTTTTTATTATTTTATTAAATTTTTTAATCCTTTCTAGCATGTTCAAAATTTTTTATTTTATTAAGAAAATGTCTTTTAGCACATTTTTTTTTTTTTTCCATTGAAAAAGTCATTAATTTGGAAATTCTAGCAAAAATCAAATAATTATCAGATTTTAATTAGACATTCAGAATTTATTCACAAATGAATGAAATTATTTTTTTTAAAGTTTTTGTCTTAGAAAATCTTGGTAAAAATTATTTTTTCTTTTTACATGTTACCACCTACTTATTTTTTTTTATTAGTTAAAAGTAGTAGTCCTTGTGAATGTAAAGCATGAATTTGTTTTTCAAAACTACTACTCATTTCTCAAAAATCTGCTCTAAATCATAAAATAAAAAATGCAATAAAACTGATATTATTTAATTAGAAAAGCTTTTAATTGCTTTTATAAATAAGATTTATGAGGGACACTATTGTATTAAAAAAAATTTTTTTTTATGAATAATGAATTTTTAAAAGAATTGTTTATTAAATTTTAATTATAATAATTTCTTATAATAATCTTTTAAAAATCTTTCAAAATTCTATATTAGTTTAATGTTATGAGGTGATATTGTTATTAAGTGAAAACTATATTACTAATCAAAAATTGAAAAGCTTCTCATTTTACACAAATATTTTTAAAATAAGTTTTTTAATTTTTTTATGTATATCAAATATTATGTAATATATAACATGCCCACTTTTGAAAGTATAGTTGACCATACACAACATTATCAAAAAATAAGAGCAATGACTATAATAAATTTAAAGTCAACATTCGTAAAATTAGATTATGAAGAATATTTTCCAACATTTTTAAGATTAATGAGTAAGTCCATAAACTACATCTGACAGCAAGGCCGCTGATCAGGAGGTTTTGAGAAGCATTGAACCACCTCTTAATTGCTGGTGTTCCCAGGTCCACCCTAACCCAGGGTGGTAGCACTTGTTGGGGTCACAGCTGTGGGAAAATAGTTAAGCCCTAAACTGGGGTCAAAACGCTATGAAAGTGTAAAAATAGGTTTTAATACCAGTAATACATTTTTAAAAAAAAAGAAATATTATCAGCAATAGATTTTTGAAGGAAAAAAAAATATTACCAGCAGTACATTTTTGAAGAAACATATTACCAGCAATAAAAATCTTTTCAGCATTATATAACCCATGGGAGTTGATATGCCGTAAAACAAACCAAACTGAACCAAAGATTAATGAGTACTTAAAAATTATATAAAAAAGGCACTCACATCATTTTCTTAAATTATGTTTTACAGATAAAGTCTCTGTAGAACAACAATCACCTCATCAGTTACATAAAACATGGTGATGTTGGCTAAAAACACAACAACTGTTTGTTTTAAAAAAGCATTTCTGTGTTATTTTAAACTTAAAGTAAATAATATTTTTTTTCAAATCAGATTAATTATACTTTAAATCAACTAATATTCCTCAAATAAAGTTTCAGAAAAGAATATTTTTGGTAGATTATTTAATACAGATAATTACATTGCGATGAAAGACGACTAAAAAAAAAAGGACACTAATCAGATATCTTATTGAAAAAATCAATTCCAACAATATAATTTCTTTTTAAAATACACCAGAGTATTTTTCTTACTGGAAATAGCAAATTTAATTCTTTAGCTTTCCATTAAAGCTAAAATGAAAACTTCAAGAAAACTTTTTCATTTATAAAAAAATCAATTTTCAACCTTAGGTATTGTTAATTAGTAGAGGTACCTAGTTTAACATTTGTGTTAAAAAAAATTAAAAAATTGCTTTAAATACAAAAATATCATTTGCTGTAACATGACCATTATATAACTGTTGATGTGCCATAAATCTGCATTTCTTTGGCATTCTTGGTTTAAACAAATAAAAAAATGTGAAGGACCATATTGATTGCAGAAAATTGGCCACAAGAGTAAATTTTTAAAGTAAATTACTGAATATGAGTGAGATGCAAATATGTGGAGAGATTGTGATAAAATTCTTTCTTTTCCTAAGGAGAGTTAAAAGAATTATAAATACAGCAGAATATTGGTTGAATAAAGTCCTGCTTCCACAAAGTTGAATTTTTCATTCATGGTTTGGTTTGGTTTGGTTTGTTTCACAGCATATCAACCCCAATGGGGTTTTTTAATGCCGACAAGATTTTTATTGCTGGTAATTTTTTTTTTCCCCAAAATGTATTGCTGGTAATAATTTTTTTCCTAAAAAATTCATTGTTGGTATTAAAACCTATTTTCACACTTTCATAGTATTTTGACCCCATTTTGAGGGTTAACTATTTGCCCATAGCTGGGACCCTAACAGATGCTACCACTCGAGGTCAGGGTGGACCTGGGAACACTAGCAATTAAGAGGTGGGTCCATTCATTTCATTTTTATTCATTAATCACTGAATTTATTTTGATGTACACAAAAATTTACTATTTTGAAAAACCCATGCAGACCCCATGATATGCACGGGGCATATTTTGTGCAGGCATTGTTTTGATGATATATTTTTCATTAGTTTATGACCATTATATAACTATCAGTGTGTCATGAATTTGGATCTCTTTATTAATTCTTTGATTTAGACAATATGCTGTTCTTTATTTTTTGACCATTTGCTGTTGATGTGAAATAAAACTAAACATTCTTATTGATTTTATAGACATTCAGCATTAAGATCACTTGGCAGACATTAATTTTGTGAAACTTTAACTGGTTTGATGATTTCAACGACGAGTCATGAAAAGTTCTGAAACTGACCCGAGAGATTCCAAACTAATTTCAAATTTTTGGTCAAATTGTGTTAAGTGCATTGAGCCAAGAACTTTTCAGCACCCTCTTGTACTCTGACTTTATCGAGTCTTATTGCTATATTAATTTGTTTACACTTTTCAGTGCTGTATTGATGAGAGCCAAGAAATGTTGTCCCTGTTGTTGGAATATGGTGCTGATGTGAATGCTCGTGATAGTGAGCTTTGGACCCCACTCCATGCTGCTGCCACCTGTGGGCACATACAATTGTGTGAGATACTTGTTCTTCAGTAAGTAATATTCTTTTTTTTTTTTTTATTTACATTATTTACAGTTGGACTATTATCCTCATCTTTGTTATTCTAATGTTTTCAGCTTTTGTTATATTTAGCTACCCCCCCCCCAGGGTTTCATGTGGCACAAGGCCCTGTTTAACGTGGGTTCTCCGAGCCTGTAGGCTCGGTCAAAAATATTCCCTCTATGAACCCACATAAACGGGTTCAGAGGCAGTCAACCACCCCGAACAAGACTCTGCCCTTCGGCGGAGCCTTGTCCAGGTTCCTTTCCGCCGAAAGCAGAGAGTTAGACTGTTAGCCAAGTTTCAGCTTTTGTGCAGGTGCCTGTTATATGTAGGGTATTTGAAACTGAACTTTGGCTTGGGGTGGATTGTTCTTGTCCCACTATCCATGTCTAAGGGTATTTAATTTTTTTTAATAGTTACTACTATCTCTGTTTCCACTGAGTGAATTTGCTACCCAGCCCAGAGTTTGAACTCACAATTGTTATATTAAGCATATGGTGGCGGAACAAAGAAGAAACAACAGAGGTTTAAGAAATAAACAATTAACGTAAAAATACAGCAAATGGTAAATTGGTGTAAATGTCTTTCGTTGAAACAAAGGTATAAGTAGAATTGTAAAAGTCGTCCACAGATGCGTACAGTAGGCAATGGAGAGTGTGACGATTGCCTTTGGCCAGTTGTCTTTGAAGATAGGAGGTCATGTTCTGACGAGTATTGTGAATCCTGCCTGTTGTGCTGTCTGCTGAAAATTTTTCTTTGATGGGCTTTTTATGTCCTTTTCTCAGGCTCAGATCAGCTCCAATTTTCATTTTGTTTCTTTAGGTGATATTGGGTGAAGATTTTAGATTTTATTATTCTTTGAGTGTGTAAGTAAAGCAGAAGCTATGTGCAGAGCCGATTTCAGAGCATTCACATTCAGGCAGTGGTAGAAATTTGTTTAACATGAATCAGAAGATGTAGTTTTAGGAAGATTATAACCACTTCCCTAGATCTTATTCTGATTCACGAATGAGTTGATGTGTTGTATATATGGTGTGGTGATGCTCAGGTTGGTATATTGTATGTATGGTGTAATGTTTTTCTATTTTTTTTAAAAATGTTTTGGTACCTGACCATGTGTTTGTTATTTGGGATTTCTTCTTTGGAATAGATGATGATGCATGATCACTAGATCTAGGATTCTCATTGTTTACATGATTGTCAAACAAAGGATGAGGTGCCGAGTTGGATGTCACTTGGAGAGTGTGGAGGAGGGGGAAAGTTCATATAAATAAGGTGGTCAGGCCGAGGTACAAGGCAACGTACCTGAGCATGATGGACCCAACTAGCTTCATCATGACCATTTGCATTTTGGAGTACTTTGTCATTTGTCTTGATAACTTGGTAACTTCCTGTCTGAGGCAGATGTGGACTATGGCTGGATGAGATCTGTAGAGTAAGATCTTGTCTCCAACTTATATTGGATCTTTATAGATGAGCTGATTCAGCCGATTGTTCATCTTGTGGTTGGCTTCATTGTTTGCTAGGGCAACATGTTGGTGAACTTGTTGCAGCAAAGAGTTTATCAGTATGCCGTAAACACCAGGGTCATCACTAGAAATGTTCTGGTTGGGTAGTTTAGGCAAACTCATCTTGGGTTGCTGACCAGTAATGATGTAATGTGGTGAAATTCCAGTTGTGCTGCCATCCTGGGCATGACAAACTACATCCACCACGTCCTGGGCAAATAGTTATCCCTGAAACTGAGATAAAAAGCATTATAAAAGTGACAAAATAGGTTTTAATACCAGAAGTGCTTTGTAAAAAATTATTACCAGAAATAAATTTAAAAAATATTACCAACAATACATTTTTGAAAAAAAGACTATTACCAGCAATACGTTATTGAAAAAAAGACTATTGTCAGCAATAGGTTATTGAAAAAAAAGACTATTGCCAGCTGTACAATTTTGAAAGAAACTATTACCATCTATACAATTTTGAAGAAAAAATATTTCCAGAAATAGATTTTTGACGGGGTTGAGTTTCAGTCCAAATTTTTGAAGAACAATGAATAGCTGTTTCAGCATGGTGATATAGTGATAAAAGGTTTTGGCGTGTACACGGTTGTCATCAATATATGATGAGATGTTCTCCTATGAAGTGACGATGGTCAATGCCTCGTCTGTGCATTGCGAACAGATTTCACAAGCAGATGTTAGAGTGAAGGCTAGGTAGGTATATTGCTAACATCGACCCTTCCAGGTGAATGCCATTTTGTAGCAGTCACATTTGTCAATGGAGATTTGCCAGTATCCATTGCTAAGATCTAGGGATGAAAAGTATTTCCCTCAACCTATCTTGTTAAAAATAGAGTTGATTGTGGGCATCGGATACTAAATCTGTGAGTACCTTATTGAGAGTCCTCTGAAAATTGGCCACTATACAGATTCATCTGTTTTTCTTTTCGGATGGCAAAAACAGGGCTGCTGAACCCTTTCAGGTCCTGAGCAGAGTTTGATGAACCCTTCAGTGGCCATGCATTGAATTTCAACATCGACATCATTATCTAGCACCTGTGTGATTGAGTGTTGCTTTTAGCTGCAGGACTGGAAATTAGTGGGTATTGGTTTTTGCTCTAAGGACTAGATATTGACCTGGGGTTTTGCCACAGGCTGGTTTATGACAGGTTGAACTCCATATATGGGGGTGCAGGTGTGAGATGTTTCCGGGTTAGTAACTGAGATCAGAGGTGCTGTATGGCTTATGTCACAAGGCTCGGTGGAATTTGACTGTGATGTCTCAATTGTTTATGGTATATAACATTAGTAAATCATGACATAAAATGTTCTGGCGACAAGGATTAGTATAGTGGTATTAGTGACCAGTATATTCATGTTCTGAAATTTGGGTGTGCTGGCGTTGCCCATAATGGTATCGCTGATTATTTTGCCAGTGACGGAAACATCACCGCCAATTTATGTTTGTATCTGATATTTGCATGTGTTTCCTTATTTGATCTGGTAGGCGGGCGATAGGTATGACACCAGTGGTGCCCCCTGCATCTAGCATGCCTCTCTCAGAGAAACTGAAATCACTGATAGTGATATTTATTTTTGTGAAAGGAGATTGGTGCAAGTATGGATGCTGGATATTGAAGATGTGATGGTGTTTCTTAATATTCTGGACCGACAGGTACAGAGCCATCACATCTCATCTTGACTTGACCAAAAATCTATTTCATGAAGTTGGTTTGTGTCTTCAGGTTGTTCTGTAGCTATTGTAGGTGTGTTTGTGTATATGGTTGCAACATGTGCTTGAGCATGAGATGGTTGGAAGTAATGGCAATTTTGGCCTTTGGAACATGTGAGGCCCCTCGTGTAGTTTCTGCAGACAGAATGGTTGACTCTGTTATTGTTGTTTGTGAGCATGCATTTCTGTGTCGGTTTTGGTGTTATGTCATTGTGCACCATTTTCATAGAGGTGTTCTTGCCATGCATTTGGGTGATTTATCTGTCGGTGTATTTGTTGTATTTGATGCTTCAGGTCGGCAAGATTCTGATGAACACCTTCATTCATTTGTGTATATGGTTGTGCGTATATTACATCTGCATTCATGTTAGGGATAGTGTCGTTTTTTCATGCTGCTGCCAAGCTAGCATTGGGTGTCACTTGCTATACCTCCTGCCGAGTAGTGACTGTCCATTGTATTTGCGAGGTGGGGGGTATATGTTCGGAGCCAAGGCCTTAGTCTTTGTGCTTATGTGCATCATGCAGATGAGAGAAAAAACGGTGTTGGCACATATTGTGGAGCTGCTGTTATTTGAAACTTTGCCTTCATGTTGGCCTGCTGATTCTCTGATCATGGTCTTGAGCCGGCCTGCAAAATTGGTGATCTTTTTGCTGTCACGTTATTACAGGTCCCATGCTTGGCTGAGGTGTTGAAAGTTTGTCATTTGACTCCCATGGGTGCTTAGCAAGTAGGCCCTCAACTGCTTGTATTAGGATGTGGTCTGTTGGAATATGCCCTCATTAAGAAGTTGCTTAGCTTTTTACATCCTCAGATAAAGCTTGGTTTTTACATGGCTTGTGTATGTCTTGTTTAAATCAGTTATGAACCAATTGACGTTGTTACCTGGATGGAAATGTTTTATGTTGCACATAGCATCACATAAGGATTGTAGTCACATGAGGAGTTTGTAGACTGTTGATGTCTGGGATGTGTGTGGATTGACCATGGTGGCAGAGGTAAGAGTGGTCAGCATTTCCTGAAGTTCTGTTTGAAGTTCGTCAGTGATTCTGGCTTGTTGTTTGCTTGTGGATTTCAAGTCTGTTTTCAGTTTGAGAATGGTTGCTCATTGCTGTTTGATTAATTCTAGCATTTTGTGACAAGTAAATGCGATGTAGTCCATCTTGTTCTGGCCACACAATTCTGACACCAGTTGTTATATTAAGCATAAATCACAGTTAAATTTCTATTTCTGACACTAGTCCACAGTGGGATTGATAAGACAGATGACCCATATTCTTGTCTGCTGAAATAGGCTATTCCCCATACGAGGTGATTTTGGATTTTGTTTATTAATTATTTGCTTTGTAATAATAAATACATTGAGCTCTCGTTGTGGATCTGTTTTAATAGTTTATATTACTAGGATCCACTTGGATTGTATACCAACAGATTTATTACCTTTACTATATATATATATATATATATTTCAAATGAGTATATAATAACTTTTAAGTAATGAGTATCAGATTAAAAGTAATATATATATATATATATATATATATAATTATTTAGTAGTTATTTTAAATTATATTTAAGGTTTAGTCATGAAATCAGAAAAAACAAATTTTTGTAATATAAATTCTCTCTCTATCTATATATATATATATATATATATATATATATATATATATATATATATATATATATATATATATATTCCTCACTGATGGAGTGCTGATTTTGAGGCAACAGTTATGGTTATCCAGAAGGATACTGAG